TGTACCTTAAATATACATATTAGTTCCTAAACATTTAAAGAGGAACACTTTTGCACTTTTTTAGCTGCTAATATGTACCCTTGATGTATTAATATGGATCTTTTAGCTTCAAATACCTTTCGGAAAGGTACCACCCCAGTGAGAGCTCGTGTACCTTTATTTCTGAGAGTGTACAGGTCATCATAAATGTCAATCCCCTGATCTATCGAGCTTTTTTCTATAGATCAGTGCCCACGTGAAATAAAAAAAATTCTATAGTAGTAAATACTAACCGCTGTGAAGTACTTGAATTAATCTGTTGTGGTGATTATACAGTTGTTACGGTAAACTTGAAGACAACTTTATGGTGGCTTGAGAATTCTACAGAAAAATCCAGCTTAAAACTAGCTTTGGCCATTTCCAGGCTGGTTTCCAGCCCTTTCCAGCCTGGTCTTAGCTGGTCAGGCTGAGAGTTGACCAGCTAAAACCAGCTTGAACAGCCTAGCCAGGCCGGGAACCCAGCCAAAATCAGCTATGTCCAGTGTAAACCAGGCTGGTCAATTTGGTTTTAGCTGGATTTAGCTGGTCATTTTCCAGTCTTACCAGCTAAGACCAGGCTGGAAATGGCTGGAAACCAGCCTGGAAATGGCCAAAACCCTTCTAAAACCAGGCTGGTCAACCAGCTAAAACCAGCCAACCAGCCTAGGCTGGTTTAAGCTAGATTTTTCAGCAGGGAAAGCCTGTTGAAAGATAGGGATAGACAAAGTATGGATAGCTGGGGGCGACGCGGTGGCGCAGTGGGTAGCACGATCGCCTCACAGCAAGAAGGTCGCTGGTTCGAGCTTCGTCTGGGTCAGTTGGTGCTTCTGTGTGGAGTTTGCATGTTCTCCCCGTGTTGGCGTGGGTTTCCTCCAGGTGCTCCGGTTTCCCCCACAGTCCAAACACATGAAGTATAGGTCAATTGGGTATGCTAAGATTGAACGCAGTGTATGCATGTGAATGATTGTGTATGGATGTTTCCCAGTGATGGGTTGCAGCTGGAAGGACATCAGCTGCGCAATATCATGTGCTGGATGAGTTGGAGGTTCATTCCGTTGTGCAACCCCAGATTAATAAAGGCACTAAGCCGAAAATAAAATAAATAAATGAATGGATAGATGGAGAAAACGTATAGATAGATAGAGGAGTTGTAAATGAGTGGTGAATACTATAACACAACTCATTTTAAAGCCTAAGAGAGATTACTAGTAATCTTATACTAGTAGATTACTAATAAATAGTATTTAGGCTGCTATAAATTATTATAGTATTTGTTTTTCATGTAGGTGATTCTAACACATTCGGTCTTTAATGCCGTCCGTCATCCTCCATTGACAACAATGTTCCAGAAAATAAACCAAAAACACTGTGCTTCAGGAGGAATAATGAGTGGTTCAGTGGTCAGCACTGTCACCTCACTGCAAGAAGCTCGCTGATTTGAGTCCCGGCTGGACCAGGAGCTTGCCCTAATGAATAAAGGGATTAAGCTAAAGGAAAATGAATGAATGATAGAATGATTAATGTTTTAGGTGGACTAACCCTTTAATAAAGCAGCCTTATTCGCACAGGCTCTTTGTCACCACTAGATGGCAGCACAATACATACAAACTCCCTATATGAGTCTGCTCTTTGTGTCTGTTTTGCTGCTGTGAGTGACGTCATAAACCTGGCAGAAAGCAAACTGTTGCTGCATCCCAATTCACACACTATCCATCCTAAATAGTGATCAAAAACAGAATGAGTGTGTCCCAAACTGCAGTATAAGAATGTAAATTGGAACGTGGCATGTGTTTATTATTTTCCCAGTCCTTACTTCAGTGGTCTGTCTGTCTGTTTGTCTGTCTGCCTGCCTGATCTGATCTATATCCATCCATCCATCCATCCATCCATCCATCCATCCATCCATCTATTATATATATATATATATATATATATATATATATATATATATATATGGCCTCACAGCAAGAAGGTTGCTGGTTCAAGTCTTGGCTGGGTCAGTCGGCAATTCTGTGTGGAGTTTGCATGTTCTCCCCCTCACAGTCCAAACACATGCGCTATAGGGGAACTGATCAACTAAATTGGCCGTAGTATATGAGTGTGTGTGTGTGAATGAGTGTGCATGGGTGTTTCCCAGTAATGGGTTGCAGCTGGAAGGGCATCCACTGTGTAAAACATATGCTGGAATAGTTGGAGGTTCATTCCGCTGTGGTGACCCCTAAAGGACTAAGCCGGTGGGAAATGAATAAATGAGCAGCCTAGCTTTACAGTAAACAGTTGGGTAATTTCAGACTTCTGTCTTTTTCTACATCATGTATGATTTGAGTGCAGACTGGAATGACGGTAAGTGTTGTGTCTGGTCAGATTAATAAGAGATTTCAGCACTCCAGAATGTTTCTTATTGGGTCACAGCACAGCATGTACACGTCTAGTTCCCTTTCAAGGCGGTGTGAACTAACTAGATATTAAAACCAACTTCTTTTCCCTATTGTGACATATACAGTTGAAGTCAGAATTATTCGCCCTCCTTTATATTTTCCCCCAATTTCTGTTTAATAGAAAGAAGATTTCTTCAACACGTTTCTAAGCATAATAGTTTTAATAACTGATTTATTTTATTTTTGTTGTGATGACAGCACATAGTCTAGATATTCTTCAAGACACTAGTATTTAGCTTAAAGTGACATTTAAAGGCTTCACTAGGGTAATTAGGGTAAAATTAGGGTAATTAGTCATTGTATATCAGTGGTTTGTTCTGGAGACCATCCAAAACTAATATTGCTGAAGGGGGCTAATAATATTGAGCTTAAAATGGCTTTAAAACAATTTAAAACTGCTTTTATTCTAGCCGAAATAAAACAAATTAGACTTTCTCCAGAAGAAAAAATATTATCAGACATACTGTGAACATTTCCTGAATCTGTTCAACATCATTTGGGGAATATTATAAATAAATGAAAATCACTGGAGGGCAAATACTCTGACTTCAGCTGTATTTGATTCTCCCTGTGCAATACAACAGAAAGCTGAATTTGTAAACGGCACATGTATTTGTGAACAGGTATAAAACACACATCAGCTCCAGACTGACATGTTCAGGGGAAAGCACACGTCTTGCAGAATGACCCATGCAGTGTGCAGAAACACACACACACACACACACACACACACACACACACACGCACACACTCATATATAACATAAGATGTGGGTGTAACGTGTAGAGCTCTATTGAACAGAAACTGAGCAGATATTCAGTGTAAAATGAGTGACGAACACTTCATTTCACACAGAAGTCACTCATTCATACACTCATTCCACTGTTCTTGGTAACACTCGCTGAGTAATAACACAAACACAGACATTTGATAACCCGCACTTCACCGCTTTATCAAGGCTATGCTGTGAGTCCTGAGTCTTACTGCATTGTTGGAGAGAGGATTGTTTGTGATGCTGGGATATTTTTGCCACTAGTCAAATGTGCATTTAGTCATTTAAAAGATGCTTGAGGAGGCAAAGAGCGATTCAACAAGAAGAGGCAATACACACAGCAAGTGCTAATTATACAAAGAAACTGTTAGTGCACAGAGAATTAATTCCTAGAGTTTATTTTGGGGGGGTTTAGAGAGAGAGGAGTGTTTCTACAGGTGGTCTGTCACGCCCACTCACCTGCGTGAGGCACACTCAGGCACTCAGATATACACTGTAAACCCTAATCTTAAACAATTAAGTAAAGTTGACAGAGCATAACTTAAAATTTTGCAGTTTGGTCCTATCACTTAAAAATATGAGTTAATTTAACTCATGTACCATGAAAATTCATAAACTTAAGATTTCAAGTGTAGTGAACTCAAAATCATAATTAATTAGCTCAGCCAGGTTCACCCAGAGAAAACCCACGCGAATGCAGGGAGAACATGCAAACTCCACACAGAAATGGCAACTGACCCAGCCAAGGCTCAAACCAACGACCTTCTTGCTGCGGGGCGATCATGCTACCCACTGTGCCACTGCATCAACCTATAATAATAATATAATTATTAATATTAATATAAGTGCTGTTTAGCAGAGCAAGATAATTATTTCGTAGTATTTAATAATAATAATTTAATAATAATAATAATAATAATAATAATAATAATAACAATCATAATATAATATAATAATAATAATATAATAATAATAATAATAATAATAATAATAATAATAAGATAATAAAATAATAATATAATAATAATAATGATAACAATATGAACTATAATAATAATAATAAAATAATAAGATAATAATAATAATAACAATAATAATATAATATAATAATAATAATAATAATAAAAACAATAATAAGATAATAATAATAATAATAAGAAGAAGAAGATAATAATATAATAATAATAATAATAACAATAATAAGATAATAAAATAAGAATATTAATATAATAATAATAATAAGATAATAAAATAATAATAATATAATAATAAAAATAATATGAAATATAATAATAATAAGAATAAGATAATAAGATAATAATAATAATAATATTAATAATAACAATAATAATAATAATATATTCATGTTATTTTTTATCATTTATAATAATAGGTTTGGTTTTGTCTTTAACTGTATATCAGTGTTTTTCTTTTTTAATACATGTTTTTATATGTGCAAATTCCAGCATTTAACCCTTCACTGCAGCAGGTGTTGATGATAAGATGCTCCAATCCATCAGTGTGATTGAATTACTTATTAGAAAAAGTCCTATATAGAATGATCATTAATGACTCATTGGGTCTCATTTCTTGTAACACACATCCATTCTTTACATCCGTCGACTGCGAGTATAGCCTACAGTACATCACACGCGCGTACTTTGCAAAGCTGGGACTTCCATAGTGATAATGTTTCCATACTTGATCTGACTAGCTATATGTGTATGGGTGTGGCAAAAACACGCGTCGCGCTCTACGTCACCGAGCCTGGGCGTAACGTAAGCGTAGAAACGCCACTCTGCGCCTCTGAAAGGAAAGTACCTTATGGAAATCCCCTACTGGCTTTTATGTACAGCTAACAATCGGGCTGGTTTGACTAGAGAGCGTGTTGTGGAGGCGAGCAGAGAAATCCAGCGGCTCTCCGAAAGCGCCATGGACAATTAAAGTGGACTGAGTGAAGTAGCAGCGGAGCCAGAGCATCTTATGGGCTTTGTTGGCGGATACCGACATATTGAACAGGTAAGAGTTGAGCGATCCGTCGCTTATAATCGCGTCCAGACCAGCGTTTCTCCTCATTGTCTGAAAGCCCGAGCGCCAGACTGTCGGATCTGACAGCCATTGTTCGCGGAGACGTCACTTTACGCGCGATTAAGACATCTAAAGCGGCGAAAACGTTCTATTGTTGCCATGGGGACAAATCGCTTCCTTTCGAACGATACATTGTTGCATTGTCTGCGCGCGTACTGTCAGGCCAATTACGTAATTCGAGCGTCAGCAAGTGATGTTGGAAGATTTCGCGTCGCTCTCCATTGTTTGTGCTTTGTGTTCAATAAAGCCGAGGAGAAAGGGGTTCAGGGGGGACCATTGGTGGCGTTCTGGCGGGATAAGTTGTCCCTAAAGAACCCCACACAAATAAACGGCGCCCTTGCTAGTCAAATGGCGTTTTCTGAACACACACACACACACACACATACACACACACACACACACACACACACACATCTATCGAGATTTATTCACTGTTATGTGGGAAATTCATAAAAATTTTGACCTTAAAGGGCCTACGAGGAGTACGTCATCAGGGTCTTTTTTTCTAGTGTGTGTGTGTGTGTGTGTGTGTGTGTGTGTGTTTTGTGGTGGTGGTTCATTTGTAGCACATGGTTGAGCAATCCTGACAATGGTGTTTCTGTCTTCTTCTTCTTCTGGCAGAGATAGATTGGTTATCCGGAACGCCATGTCTCAGGGCCAGAACTTCCTGCCCAAGTTCCTATTCGTCAGCAATCTCCTGAAGGCGGTCAAAATCAGAGAGCGGGTGCCCAATGATGTGGTCAAACCCTCGGCAGGCGGCAGCCTGATCCATCACCTGCGGAGCATGCACCGTTACACACTGGAGATGATCCGAATGAGCCAGTTTCCGCAGGCCTTCAGAGAGGTCATCCAGGCGGCCATCTTGGACAGGGCAATGCAGAGCTCGCTGGAACAGGAGAAGAGGCTGAACTGGTGCCGTGAGGTCAAGAAGCTGGTGCCGCTCAGAACCAACGGTAACAGCGGGCTTAATTTCTTTAGCTCTGGCTTTCTGACAATTCTTCCACATAACCCAAGACAAATGGGCTAAACCAAGATGACTGGGCTGATATATGCTGTATGAATGCCCGGTCACTCACTCTAGATAGTAGGCAATGTACAGTATTCAGATTCATATTGTTAGGCTCTTAGTGTAGGGGTGATTAAACATCATCCAGGATAATTCATCAACTACTCTTTGGTCTCAGTAATAATATTTAAACCTAAACTCGTCGTTTCACAGGTAAAAAAATAAAAAAAATGTATCTATTTACATCATTTTGTAAAAAAACAAACAGCACATATTGGAGAAACGCATCGGTTTCCTGGTATTTTTGTTATTTTTATTTATATTTCATCAAATTATTTTTAAAAAGTTTATTTAGAAATGGTAATACTGAGATTCAATTATTGGCAAACGCATTAAAGCATGAATAATAAATTCCCCAAAATTAAAAGCGATTATTCAAAACAAATGACTTGAATTAAATAAATTTGCCTGTATATATGCCATCACTTACATTATATGTAAGTATACCTTTATTACCAAGTAATATTGCCTGTAATATTGAATCGTAAAGTGTTTAATAATAATCATTTTAATTCCGATAATAATAACAATAGTAGCGTGTTCCCCTTTGCATTCAATTGATAAACCATAGAGCTTTTATTCTGGCGGAAAACCCCAGGGAACTTTTCATCTTAAATGTTTCTCTCGTTGACAACAGTAGAGATTTATTGACCAAACGTACATATTTAGGAAAATGTTTGGCTCATTTCTCAATTTTAAAAGCATCCGGAGCACCCGGAGGAAACCCACGTGAACGCAGGGAGAACATGCAAACTCCACACAGAAACGCCAACTGAGCCGAGACTCGACCCAGTGACCTTCTTGCTGTGAGGCGACAGCACTTCCTACTGCGCCACTGCATCACCATGTTTATCATTATTGTTATATTATTATTATTATTATTATCATTATTATTATTATTATTATTATTATTATTTTTAGCATCATCATTATTATTATGTGTTAATGTTTCAAGCTCTCATTGGTTATCAGAAATTCCATTATTATTATTATTATTATATGTTTATTAATTTTCTACATCATAATTCTAGAAACTGTTTAAGTCTTTAAAACAAACTCGAATTGTTCGATCACTTCACACTTTTTTGCTTCGTTTATTCTTAAATATTATTGGTTTATTTTTTAAAATCATTTTTACATGCATCTCTGTCAGGATTCGAACAACCATTTCAGTCTTCAAAGCAAACTCAAATAGTTTGACCACTTAACAAATTTAGTTTGTTTTTAATTATTAATTTTAAAATGCAAACAAATATTTTTATGTGGTAAATTAAAACTAAATAAATTTTGTTTTTATTGGCTTCAGCTTTAGTCTTTAAATCTAACTCAAATTGTTTGACTACTTAAATTTTGTTAGATTGTTTTTAATTATCATTTGTGTATTTTTAAAATTATTTTATGTACTAAATTTAATAATAATAATAATAATGTTTTTGTTTGGTTATTTCTATTTGAATTCTAGAAACTCTTTCCGCCTTTAAAACACACTCAATTTGTTAAACCACTTCACTTTTTGATTGTTTCTTTGTTTTTAGTTATTATTATTTATTATTATTTTCATATACTAAATTAATGCTGTTTTCATTTGACTAGTTCTATCAGACTCCACTACTTCAGGTTTTTTGTTTGTTTGAATGATCATCACCATCATCATTGTTATTATTGTTTTAATATTAACTTTTTTAATCTCCTTAATTAGCAGCATAGAAATGCTATCAGACTTTTAAAAGCTCTTATAGTTTAGCCACTTTAGTGTGTTTTTGGCACAGACAGCAGACGGGAAAATCCTGCACTGTCTGTCACACTGATGTTTTTCCCCGATAATTCTCGAGCTGAATTTGATTCGAGGGGCCGTTCTGTGTGTGATTCGGGCCCCACGTTAGCGCTGTATGACTCTTGATGCTCTCTGGCTGACTCTGGATCAGCTCTTCTCTTATGAGTAATGCTAAAGGGAAACTTCTCTGTACTTGCCATTGTTGCTCCACTGTACAGTCATTAGTTACTGTAACTGAAGTGAGGTAAACACAGCCCATACAAGCCAGTGTTATTCGGTGGATTATCTGATGGCTCACGCTTTACAATAAGGCTTCATTAGTTGATGTATTTATTTACTAACATGAACTAAGTACTTGTACAGCATTTATTAATGATAGTTCAACATTTATGTATTATTATCATCCCAATTTACGCTTGTTAATGCACCATGAGTTAACATGAACAAGTACTGTAATAAACGTATTGCTCTTTGTTTGTTCATGTTAGTAAATGCATCGACTCACATTAAACAGTGTGCTGAAGTATTGACTTGTACGTCTTAAATCATTTCAAATAGGTCTTCATTTGTCTATAGAAAGCTCCCCGAACAGGTCAACACCTGAATACAGCACACAGTCACCTAAAACACACCTCAATTTAACAATATGGTTTCTCACAACATTCTCCATGTTCAGTTCTCCATGTTTTTATTGACTATATGTGGTAAAGAAGGTCGCTGGTTCGATCCTCGGCTGGGTCAGTTGAAGTTTCAGTGTGGAGTTTGCATGTTCTCCCTGTGTTGGCGTGGGTTTCCCCCACAGTCCAAACACATGCGCTATATTGGAATAGATCAACTAATTTGACCGTAGTGTATGAGTGAGTGCGTGAATGTGAGAGTGTATGGGTGTTTCCCAGCACTGGAAGGGCATCTGCTGCATAAAACATATGCTGGAATAGTTGGCGGTTCGTTCCGCTGTGGCGACCTCTGAAATAGAGACTAAGCCGAAGGAAAATGAATGAATGAATGGTCTTTTTAAGTGTTCATTCTGACTTGGCGAAACCTGCAGAAACCCTGATTAACTTATACAAGCTTATGGTTAAGTGTTTGCGTATTTGGTCTTGTTCTTTTTTTGTTTTTGAAAAACTGAAAAGTACAGACATGATTTTATTCATTCATTTATTAATTCATAATTTTTTTCAGTCTGGAACTTTGTCTTAAAATAATGCTTTTAACGTTGTGTTTGGTTATTTGATGTAGCATTATGCAGTATAAAAATAAATGCAGGGTTTCACACAACTCCTTCATGTTGTCCTAACACAAATCAATTAAGTTAACTTAATCGGGTTTTACCAATCTAAGTGGATTGAACATTAAACAATTATGTTGTCCCCAAAAAAGCTAAAGAAATGTGCTTTTTCCAACTCATTTTAAATGCAAAGTAGCAAAAGTCATTTTTTGCGTGCGTCTTGTTCTTGTGTTCTGGTCATTTTTGGCTTCTAGAGAGCTAGTTAGTACAGATTTTATGTATTTATTCTTTTTTTTCTAAGGGAAACAGGAATTTCCTGTATTAAATCATGTGTGAATACCTACAGTTGAAGTCAGAATTCTTCGCCCCCCTTTGAATTTTTTTTCTCTTTTTTAAATATTTCCCAAGGAATTTTTCACAGTATGTCTAATAATATTTATTCTTCTGGAGAAAGTCGTATTAGTTTTATTCTGGCTAGAATAAAAGCAGTTCTTAATTTTTAAAAAAACATTTTAAGGACAATTTTTTTTCTTCTGTTTTTCTACAGAACAAACCATCGTTATACAATAACTTGCCTAATTACCTTAACCTGCCTAGTTAACCTAATTAACCTAGTGAAGCCTTTAAATGTCTCTAAGCTGTATAGAAGTGTCTGGAAAAATATCTAGTCTAATATTATTTACTGTCATCATGACAAAGATAAAATAAATCAGTTATTAGAGATGAGTTATTAACACTATTATGATTAGAAATGTGCTGAAGAAATCTGCTCTCTGTTAAAAAGAAAACAGGGGAAAAAATAGATTGTGTGCTGGATTGTACAGATTATTTTTTATTTAATTTAATTTATTTTATTACACTGTAAAAACAAACCACAATTTTACGGTTAATTTCCGGCATTTATTTTAAGGTAAAAAAAAATTGCAGAAATTTACCAGAAATTAACAGTTTAAGGAAATCTCTGTAAATTAATATCTGTTACTTTACCTTTATATTTCTGTAATTTAACAGCCATTATTTGAGGTTTTCTTTCCGGCACCCCAGCGTAGTAGACAGTGTAGTTTAAAAGTGAAATGGGAATTTCCTGTTTTAAATCACATGTGAGTATGGAGGTGTTGTGTTAAAGTTATTTTTAACGTTGTGTTGATTTATCTGATGTAGCGTTGTGTCTGTTTATTGTTTTCTTGTCATGTTTGTTTTAGTGAACTGGACTGGATAGTAGTAGAGGTCTTAGTTTATTTTTTTCAAAGGGAAACAGGAATGTCCTGTATTCAGTCACGTGTGATTATGTGTTAGTCTGGAATGTTGTGTTTAGATACATTTTTTTAAACACTCTGTTTATTAATAGACATTCTGATCATTTGATGTCTTGTTTCTGTGTTCTGATCATTTTATTTGTTTATAGAGAACTGGATAGTTCATTCAGTTTTTTTTTTTTCAAAATGACACAGGAATGTTTGTGTTTATTTCATTAGCATTGTGTCTTGTTCTTGTCATTGTTTTTAGAGAACTGGATAGTACAGATTTTATATTTGTCTAAAAGTGAAATGGGAATTTCCTGGTCTAAATCACACGCTTACATCAGTGTTAGTCTGGAACTTTGTGCTAAATCATTTCCTCTTTACATTGTGTTTGATGATTTGATGTGCAGTTGTGTCTTGCTTTTGTGTTCGTGTCATTGATGTTTAGTTTTTAGAGAACCAATAGGATTGTTTTGTGAGTGTGAAATGGGGATTTCCTGATTTAAATCAAGCATGATCATGTAGGTGTTAGTCTGTAATGTTGTGTTGAAGTTATTTTAACCTTGTGTTGGATTTATCTGATGTAGCGTTGTGTCTTTTGTTGTGTCCTTGTCACTTGTGATTTGAGAGAACTGGATTGGTTA